CCTATGAGTGAGAACATGCGGTGTTTGATCTTCTGCTCTTCTGTCAGTTTGCTGAGAATGATGGTTTCCAGGTTCATCCATGTCCCTACAAAGGACCCTAACTCATCGTTTTGGTTTTTTTTTTTTTGAGACAAGGTCTCACTCTGTTGACCAGGCTGGAGTGCAGTAGCTCAATCTCGGCTCACTGCAACCTCCACCTCCCGGGTTCAAGTGATTCTCCTGCCTCAGCCTCCTGAATGGCTGGGACTACGGGTGCATGCCACACCACCATGCCCAGATAATTTTTTTTTTTGTATTTTTAGTAGTGACGGGGTTTCACCAAGTTGGCCAGGCTGGTCTCAAACTCCTGACCTCAAGTGATCTGCCTGCCTTGGCCTCCCAAAGTGCAGTACTGGGATTACAGGCATAAGCCATCAAGCTGGGTCAATAAATCTCTTTCTAAATAAATATTCACCCTGTTGGTTTTATTTTTCTGGAATGCCCTAACTAATACATTACCTCAACCAATATATGTTCAATTTTCCTCAATGGCTCAAATGTATCTTTTTTACAGATCATTTGTTTGAATCAGAATTTAAATAGGTTCCACACACTATTTTAAAGTTTATAGACATCAATTACATTTGGGACAAATTTATGAGTTTTTTTCCTTTTTATAGTATTTCTTAAATAATATTGCATAAGCCCCATGACACAGATTATTAAACACCAAATTTTAGAATGTAGTTCCAGATTTACAAAGGTCAGAATGCATGCTTTAAATGGGTCAAGACTGAACATAGAGAGGAAGCAAAATACATTCCTATTAACCGTAATATACTTTTAAAAAGTCAATGAGCTCCTTTTGTGATTCCAGGTTCCACACCTATAAACCAGGAAATGCACATATGAAGTATCTATTTGGCCTACCTCATCATAGATACCATGAGGGTAAAAGGTAATTTCACATAATTAAATAGTTTGAAAACATAGTGTCAAAAAAAATGGAGACATTTCTATTTTAATATCGTCATCATCATTTTCACCCAAGAAACATTTCTCTTTTTAATTTGCAACCGGGATCTGATTCTCACGTGAAACTTGCACTATTAGTGCAGTTGTGCTTCATTGTTAAAGTGAACAAAAGCAATTACACTGTGCTGTAAGGAAATAAGCTTGGTCTTCGATGAAAAGTCATTCTGTCAGTATAACATGTGCACCAAAGCAGCAAAGGGTCGCCTCTCAAGGTCACTACTCCAGACACTTACCCAGTACTGTTGAGGTAACTCTGTCCCAAGCTGCAATCCTTCGACAGAGAGGATGGGTTGAACCAAAATGCCGGCAGGCACTGGCCATTGCTGTGTCGCTCGTAACCATAGTCGCTGTTAGGAAAGAGCCAAGGAAAACCTTTCAGTAGGTGGCAAAACTACTGAAAATAATTCCATGTCTGTCCACAACCAAGTTCTGTACTCATCAATTAGTCAAAAAAAAAAAAAAAAAAAAAAAAAAAAAAAAANAAAAAAAAAAAAAAAAAAAAAAAAAAAAAAAAAGCATTCCCTGAATCAATGACTTCTCAAAGATAGACCTCTTTTTCATAGAATATCTATCAATTATTCAGGAAAATATCCTACACAACCAGTCATTCCATTTAAACACTCTTAAGCTGAGAGAGTAGATGTGTTCTCATTAGAAGGATAAACAATACAGATGGCTGGGCCCAGAGAAAGCTATACTGAGAAAACGGGTAGTGGTGACACTCAACGCTTGGTGAGAAATTCATCACAGAGTTTAACACGGTCACATGTGGCACAGTCCTCATTACTGGTGATGCCTTTGGGATGCTCTTCCAAGACATCTGGATCTAACAAGCAGAGCTGAGCCAGCTCCCTCTGTGCAAACTCCATATGCTTCAAAGTTATAGCCAAAAAGGCAATGTCCTTCAGGAGTGTCTCGAGCATTCCCCCAAGGAAAGGTTTCATCTTAGGCAGTTAGTACTGCCAGTTGGGACTAACTGCTTTAAATCCTCTCTCCACTTTGGAAATAGTCAAAGGCTTCCCTCTCAGCCTCCTCTCCTTCAGGCTTCTAGTGGCCTTTGAATTGCCTGATAGTCTTGGCTTCTGGCAGATGAACTTGGACACAGAGAATGACAACAAATTGCACCTCCACATGCACAGACAAATCACAGGCAGCAATCAGCAAGCATTAGTACGAATTGGCCCATCTGTGTAATGGAGGTGAGATGCTGGCACACAAGGGTCAGGAAGGGAGAAGCAGGCTCAGCTCAGGGGCCTGTGACCAGGCAGCTGGTACTTAGAATACTGCACATATTAGCTGGATTTGGTGCTGGTTCAACGCAGCATGGGGAGGAAGACTTCAGAACCTATAGGACAACCAGTGTTCACTTCAGGGAGTTACTTTGCAAATGCTGGAGAGGGACAGGCAAAGGCATATGGGGAACTGTCCAGGAGAGAGCCAAACCAAGGAGAAAAACTCATTGACAATCACCTTTCATTACACTACAGCCAGGTGTAATCACCAAAACTCCAGCTACTGGGAGAAGCCCAACAAGGTCGTGATGAGACTTCACAAATATTTTCAGAAATCATGCAGTTACAGAAATCCCACTGGACCAGAAAACCTTACAATGGCCTCCTTCATGATTCATTTCCCACTTCTCAGAACGCATTTCAGCTAGTGGGATGAATAGTCGATTTCAATCACAAATGCAAGGATTGGGCCAAGACAGAGGTACCAGGGATGGGGAAGAAGAGAAGTCTAACTGCTTTCCTTATCTGGTATTCCTTTCACTTTGACTAGCTACAACTGAAAAAGAAAAATGACAACCACAACAACAACAAAAAGACTGGCTTATTTTGGATCCCGTAGCAAAGAGTACAGAGAAGCAAATGTTTTGAGGAGAAATCAGGAAATTGGGACATCTCATCTCATTTTTTTTTCTCTTTGGTTGTCTACCAGATAATAAATTTGCCTCCTTCTAAAGAATGGCTGTTTCTTAAGGCAAAAGCTAAATCACTAATGTAAGATGCAACTTCCTTTGCAAATCTTCCTTGAATAGGGTAGATGAAGCAGCATTAGTCGCTTCAGAAAGAGGGATGTGATGATTGACAAAATCTCATGGTAGTTTTCCCTGTGAATGCATTTCAGGGTGTCAGTCCCAAAGAGTAGTACAAGATAAAATATTTTTGTCACTGTCATAATGTTGCACTGACTAAAACAGAAGTCACAATTGGGGCAGCCCCCTGAATATTTCCTTTTGAGCTCCAATGTAACTGAAGCTCTGTTGCCCTCTGGCTGAGCCCAAAGAGATATTGGCTCTTGGTTTGGCATCCTCACCAAGGGGGTACATCTGTGGGTTATTGGTCTGACTGCTGGTGGCCACTCTTGTCAGATCTTCTTAGTACTATTTATTCAGAGAATATCTCCAGATGTCTACCATAAAAGAAGGCTTAACTTAGTTCTAAGACATGTGATGTGTATGTACACAGTATCTCAGTCCAATCAGTGATATTTTAATGATTCAATATGTAACCTGAGATTGCTATACAGCTAGAAATAAATTGTTAAAGAATAACTAGTTCTTATGCAGGTCAAGTATAGATTCTTTAACACATTTGTACGTATTTAGTGATCACATTCTCTAAATTAAAAACAAATAAACAATAAGGGAAAAGCAAAAAGAAGAGGAGAAAAAAAATGGAAAATACCAAGGGAGTTACCACCTACTTGTCCTTAATAATTTGTAAGCCTTACTTGAACAATGAGCATCGACAATAAGGGAAGGGCTTCACTGTGCCCACAAGCTAGGTTTCTGCTTAGCAAATGTCTCAGGAAGAAGTCTATGACACTCTGAGATTAGTTTAACCTCTCAGTGTCTCAGTACTTCTCCAGTTTAAACTAGCTTAATCCTGGTAAAGCAAGAAGTCTCCTTTAACACTAGGTTCACCAAGTTACAGATTTGCAATGCCATTGCATGTATTCTTGCCCTGAGTTCAGAAAGGTCTTCCACAAATCTCATAAGCTGTGGTCAGCTAACTATGAATTGAAAACTTTCAGGGACATAAAATGTACTGCCTTAAAAGGCCATTATTCCACTACAGGAAATCCTAGATTCTAGAAAGCTTTCATCTAGAGCACAAATAGGTTTGTTTGCTTCCTAAAAAGTCCACTTGCTGTTTTCAGTGTTGCTGTTTGAAGGAGCACAGAAAAAATCTGCTCTCTTTTTCTTTTGTTGAGACATAGCCTCAGTCTGACACCATGTTGGAGTATACTGGTGCAATCTCGGCTCACTGCAACCTCCGTCTCCCAAGTTAAAGTGATTCTCCTGCCTCAGTTTCCCAAGTAGTTGGCATTACAGGTGCCCACCACCATGCCCAGCTAATTTATGTATTTTCAGCAGAGATGGGGTTTCATCATATTAGCCAGGTTGGTCTCGAACTCCTGACCTCAAGTGATATGCCAGCCTCAGCCTCCAGAAGTGACGGGAGGCATGAGCCACCACTGCTGGCCAAATGTGCTCTCCTTTTGTCCTAGGAATCTATCAGTTATATGAAGACAATTACCAGCCATCCTCTGAGTCCTCTTTCAGTCTAAAGAAATCCTTGATTTTCCCATATACACATGCACATAGCTAGTAAACTATAAGGTAATTTTATAAGAAAATGAAGCTAGCCACTTAGCCCTATGAATGCTACCGTTATTTCAATTCTAAGCTTTCATTAAGGCTCATGTGGATTTGATACACTGAATGACTCCACGAGATAATTACAGGAGCTCACCAATCAAAATCAGCCTCAGTGCAGACACAGGGTTTAGATTCCATAGCTCCTGCATATTTTCCTTGCATACATTTCCTCTCTGATTTTCGCTTCTTATATATCCTTTTCGCTCCCATGATACATGCTTCCCCCTGCAGGGAGAGAAGGATAACAGACACTTGGGCACATAGCTTGGACTTTCCCTGCCCCACATGAGGGACATTTAGGGAGACATTTGCGAATCTTAGTGTAATGTAAACTTTGGTAGCCCTCTTTGTGCTAACGACACTTTCCTTTTGATGTCTAGAACCCTATTATACAACTTGACTATAAAGGCAATCCTAACAATCATTGAGGATTATTAAATAACATCCTTAATTTTGTGTGTATTTATCAAACCACTATTTGGCAAAGTGTTAGGTACGGTGCTATGAAGGACATACAGATAAGTAAGACTCAGCCGGTACCTAGTATATTGCCAACAAATCTGTAGTAATTAAGTTCAATTCTCCTATAATAAAAGATTTATACAGTTGGTCATTTATGAGAGCATGAAAGAGGAGCATTGCTAAGAAATATAAAGATTAATTTTGCCTTGATTTATTATGCCTCTGCCCACACGACTTTACAGCACGGATTTTATGTTAGTCTACCAGACAAGCAAGAGAGCTAAATTCAGTGTTTTCCCACAAAATAAATAAAAGCTTTGAATATCACAATGCTTGTGCATCCCAAAGGAGAAAATATCAGGAATGTAAATGAGTGATTTTCTTGTTGAGCCTCTGAACAGCGTGGGTGTATCCAGCTAATGCAGAGCCCACTATCAGACACACTCCTCCTTTTGTGTTTCTGAAAGACCAGAGTAGAATTTTGCTTAATCTACTGTATAGTGTCTTTCTTGAGCAAACTCCCTTTCACTGGCTTCATTACACATCTACATTTAAATATATTACTTAGTCTAGGTTTGGGGTAATATGATGTTTTTCTGCCTGAAGATGGTGATGGTGTTGCAGCAAGTACTTCCACCATATCCTTTGAGAGATCTGCAGAACGACTTGTATCTTGGGAAATCAAGGGAGAGACACTTCCATCTAAGCATTTTGATATAAGCTGAATAGGTGAGAGGCCAAGACAAGGAAAGTTTCCTATTAATAATGCTGCATTCTCATACCAGGAGTACCTTGCAAGGAGGCAAAAAGCAGTATATAGTTCCAAAGAATCAAGGTGAAGGGGAAGAAGGATTTCTCCAAAACGCTCACCCAGCATAACTTTGTTTTTTTATGTCCCTGTTTGCATCCCTGCCCCCACCATGCAACCATATGACATTCTCAGATGAATTATGTTTGGATCTCAGTGCTGAATTGCTATTTCATTTTAAGTTATAAGTCTAAGCCAAGCACATTTGAATTTTATCCCATTATATCCTAGCACAATAAAAAACAGAAATGACTTCCCAACAAGCTATAAATGGTGAGTTTGTTCACTGCTGTGGAACACAAAATGTGTAAGAAAACAGTAGATGGATATTCTGGCCTAGAGCATCCTAGTTCCTATACCTGAGCAACTAGCTTTCCCCCAACACAACCTATGCTTCCTGCCCAGGGCTCAGTTTAAGTTCTTTTCCTCCTACCTGGCTGTGCAGCTGCCAGGGTCTGTAGTCCTCTTCGGCACACCGTCTATCAAAAATGGACTTGTAGTCTACTTTGACCAGCTGCCATTCAGAGCGGTGGCTGAAGTGTCCAAACACTCTACAGAGTTCATGGTGATAAAAAATAATCACAATGATAACAGTGCCAACAGAGTAACAACAGAGTGCATTTGTGGAGTATTTACCCTCAGCTAAGCACGTTACATGAATCATATCATTTCATCCTCAAAATGCATTCATGAGGAGGATACTTTTTATTTTCATTTTTTTTGAGACAAAGTCTCTCTCTATCGCCAGGCTGGAGTGCAGTGGCAGGATCTCAGCTCACTATGACCTCCAACTCCCTGGTTCAAGCGATTCTCCTGCCTCAGCCTCCTGAGAAGCTGGGATTATAGGTGCGCACCACCATGTCCAGCTAATTTTGGTATTTTTAGTAGAGACAGGGTTTCATCATGTTGGCCAGGATGGTCTCGATCTCCTGACCTCTCCACCTGCCTTGGCCTCCCAAAGTGCTGGGATTACAGGTGTGAGCCACCTCACCCAGCCAAGGAGGGTACTATTACTGGATCTACTTCACAGATAATATGAGGTTCCATGAGTTTTGTTAACATTGCAAAACACAAAATCAAGTCATAATAGCAGGTAGAACCAGAACCCACAGTGTTTGATTCAAGAGCCCACTTGTACATATTGTGCCACAGGAGTGGCTGGGAAAATATAGTTGAGAAACAATCATAAATACTGTATTCTATATGGTCCAAGATTAGACTTCTAGGTTATCTTGCTAAGGTACATAGTTCGCATGGTTTCCATGCCATTTTACCTTCCCACCAGACCCTAGTGAAAGTGATCAGGAGAGCCAAGACTTATAATGGTTTCCTACACTGTGCAGTCTACTCTCTTTACTCAGAGAGACTCAGGTATTTACTGAGATGTTTGAATCACCAATCATAGGTTTGAAGAAAAGCCATGAAGTGGCCTGTTGGGTCATCTTCATAAAATCTCTGTTTAGAAAATATAAAAATTAAAGAAAGACAAATTATGGAATGCATTGCTAATTTAGCTATGTTTCCCATTGACAAAAGTGTAGCTATCAGGCATATTAGATTTCTGTTGTTGTTTTCTATCATTAAAAAAAGTAGTAATGGTAGGGGAGGAAATTGGAAAATGTACCAAGTATTCACTTTGGCTTGAAAGTTTTCACTGATGATCAGATCAACTACTTTACAACTTTCCCTTTCTATTTTCCATGTCCAATTTTCCAAAGGAAGGAAATATCAGTTTCATACTTTAAAGTCCATGTATTGAAACCCATAGGCAGCCAAGTTACAATCTTTCACAAATTAATGATCATCACATTCCAGGCAAAAATGAGTATAAATGCAATTTCATAAGAACAGAATGTTCTCATGGTTTTCCTAATATGCCTCATAATTGGGTTAGGTAAAAAGCCCAGGAAAAATACAATGCTTTGTGGCATTTTGTTGAAACACTATCTTCTGACTTAAAGTGAAGTCATTCCTATATGCCTGAGATATTCTACATATTCAGTTTCTTATTATTAAAGTTTTAAATGTACAGCTTTATTTCTTATTGAAATCATCACTTCTAATTTCTCTATGCACCTCAGACTGGGTCTCCAAAATACTATCAAAGAACCAAGAAATAGCTGCCAACGTTTTTCTTTCCTATCTGTTGTACGCTCTTGCAGTAAGATGCAACAACCTCAAATCTAATAGCTGCAAATCAAACAGGCATAGCTATAAAACATTTTTCTGGATTATTCTTTTCTACGAAGGCTGAAACACATCATAGTTTTCAACTTACGTCATGATGAGAGTCTCTTCTCCAGGCTCACCCAGAACCCCATCCACAAAAAGTGGAATAGATGTGAAACTGTATTTGCTCCAAGATCTCCCTTCATCAAAACTCAACCTAATGATATAAAATATATCAGTAATCAGGTCTCCAAACGGGGAGAAAAGTCATTTCAAAGCAAAGATACTCTTAACCAGGAGATAATACATGTTAAAAGTAGCTGGGGGCATTGTCAAAATGAGCCTTTCATATGAATAAGTATTCTTAATTATATTAGAAGATAGAAATACAGTTAGCCAAGCCGTCAGGACACAGATGTATTAAAACGTCAATGAAGGGAGAGCTACATTAAATGGGAATAACTGTCAGTTTTTAATAAACGTTTTCAAAGTTTGGATATTTTATTATTTCTTAGACTTCAAGCTCTCGACCCTTTCCAAAACCTCACTACTGTCTAACGAGTCTTACAGGTGATCCTGATGAGCGATGATCTTGTAAGGTTTACTTAGATTTCAACCAACCCATCTCTAAGTGACTAAGTCCCAAGTGTGTCCTTCTTACACCTATAAATCCTGGTTGAACTCATTGAATGAATGAGTACAGGACACACTTTTGAAAGGAAGAGAAGATAATTCTTCAGTCCTGATGATCACTGAAATGGTCTAAATGCTTGTGTCCTCTCTAAAATTCAAATGTTGAACATCTAATCCCAATGTGATGGTATTAGGAAATGGAGACCTTGGGAGGTGATTAGATCATAAGTGTGGACCATCCATGAAAGGAATTAGTGATCTTATAAAAGAGGCCTCAGAGAACTGCCTTGCCCCTTCCACCATGTGAGGACACAGCAAAATGGTACCATCTATAAACCGGAAAGTGGAGTCCTCATTAGACACTCAATCTGCCAGCACCTTGATCCTGGATATCTCGGCCTCCAGAACTATGAGAAATTAATTTCTGTTGTTTATAAGCCACCCAGTTTATGGCATTTTGTTACGGCAGCCCAAATGAACTAAGATGGTCACTTGGGACCTTTACTTTTGCTCTACGTTTCTTTATGAATGCCCTTGCCCAAGCTAAGCCTTATTTTTCTCTTTTGCAGCTTTCCCTTCAGTCATCAAAGTAACTAACAGTAGAAGGAAAGCCAGGCTTTTGATTTTGGACAAACTCATATACACGGAGAACCACTTTCAAAAACACAGATGAAAGAGTCTATTGATAACTCCTCTAGAAGTTAGGCCTTATATATCCATGAATGGGACAGGCACAGGCAGAATTGTGGAATATCACCTCAAAAAAGAAAAACAAGAAAGCAAGATCAGGAGAAATGAGACTGGAGCAGAACTGTCATGAGTTATCAAACTGTTTTTGTAGTAAATCTGTCACCAAAATGCCAAGGATTTTGTCCAGGTCCTGTTAGGTTTGAAGAAAAGCCATGAAGTGGCTCTGTGTGGAATGCAAAAATTGATACAGATATTAAACTCCAGGAGATGTTATTTGCGAAAGATTACTGCAAGAGGTCAAGCTATTCAGAGACTATACCTGATTATGAACGTTGTTCTACCTGTGATCATGCTGAGAGAATAACATGCTGGTAAAGGTGTGAGGGTGAAAGTATTGTCACATTTGCAAAGTATAATGCAATTTCTCTCTCAGGGAGTAATACTTCTCTCTCTCTCTCTCTTTCTTTCCCTCTCCCCCCTCACTCTCTCCTTTTCTCCCTCTCCCTCTCTCTCCTACCTCCCCTCCTGACAATCTGAAACTGGTACAAGTTTCCCATAGAACTGATGATTATAGTTTCTTTGAATAGACACAGAAATTGATCACGCCTGGCAACAGCGCAAGACTTGGTTTCAAACAAACAAATACCTCTGTCCGAGCATGGTGGCACACACCTGTAATCTCAGCACTTTGGGAGGCCAAGGTGGGCTGATCACCTGAGGTCAGGTGTTTGAAAAACTAGCCTGACTAACATGATGAAGCCCATCTCTGCTAAAAATACAAAAATTAGCCTGACGTGGTGGCATATGCCTGTAATCCCAGGTACTTGGGAGGCTGAGACAGTAAAGAAAAAAACAAATAAATAAATTGACCCTCCCTGTCTTAAAACTTGAGAAAGTTACATTTGTCTTATCTGAGTTCCTTTCTCAGGAAACGAACCATCAGGCCTCTCAGGTAGTATCAGGGAGCTGAAACTTACCAGACAAAGGCATCTGGCCAGTGAGAAGCCAGACTACTTACCCATCATGATTGCCTAATTGACAACTTGCTTCCTGTGGACCACCTCCTCTTCCTCACCTCCTCTTCCTTACCCCTCCCTAATTCCTGTTTTCCCACACCTAGTTACATTTCTTCACTCTATATAAACCCCTAATTTTAATCATTAGAGACAGACTGATTGTCCATCTCCTTAGCTGCAGCACCCAATTAAAGCCTTCTTCCCTGGCAATATTTGTTGTCTCAGTGGATTGGTTTTTTGTGTGGGGAGTAACAAGACCTGGACCAAACCCTTGGTCTGGCATGTGCTACGTTCCGTGCTGCACAAGGGTTTAAGGACTTAAGAGGGAACAGTGGGGGATAAGAAAAGACACAGACACAGACATACAGAAAGCTGGGCCAGGCGATTAAGGAGGTGAGGATGTTACTCTCTCCATCCCCAAACTGTTTTCATGTATTTTATTTTATATGTTCATAAAGCACATAGCAGAGGGAGGGTGCAGTTACTGAGAACAGTCTGTGGCTATTATTTTTATACTTTAGTTAACATATTTCAGCTAAAAACTATTTTGCAGCAAGGTTAGCGAAAACTGGTTATATTTTTAGGTCCGTTTGTTCTCTCTAAGACATACACATCCTCCTACTGTGGTTTTACTTCCCTGAAGTTCAACCAAAGTTCACAGCAGCCTTGCTGCTGATCCCGCCGCCCCCCCACCCCCGCCAAGAGGGAGTGTGCTATTTTGCCTCCCTACATCCTGGCATTTTGGTAACAGATTTACTACAAAACAGTCACAGTTTGATAGCCTGACTCCTAGACTGATCTTAGCAGTGCAGGACCAACAGGTGCAGATCTCACAGGCAGCAGGTGCCCTTACCAAAGATGTCGAATTGGGAGAGATGTGTGTTTCATAGCAACCAGGACTCCACCTTGATCCAGGTACAAAACACTGTGCTCTTCTTCAAAGATCTAGATGAGGAAAACACATACATAGACACACATCCACATCCACACATACTCAGGCTTCAGAGAATCAGTATTCACATGAGAACAAAAAATCCTTCCCATGACTAAGTAAGTTTCCCTAAATCTGCAGAAAAATAAAGTTATAGAACAGTTCTTCCCAACATGGGCTACTGTACCACTGGTGTTATGTAAAATAACTTTAGGTGTGCATAATATAAATTTAAAGAATGAATATTCATGGGTTCATGCTTATATTCCTTCATTTTCATGATAATTTCTATTGATTTCCAGTTATAATGATGTCAGAATATTGGTTAACTGTCATATATTACACAGCTCCAGATAGAGGGAAACTTAGAGACCATTTACTCCAACAGTCTCATTTTCATAGACAAGAAACCTAAGGTTTAGAGAGATATGGTAACTTGTCCGAGATCGTGCATATAGTAATGGATGGAGCTTGGACTTGCTGCATTACAGTGGCCTTTCCAGATCTATTTGTAGTTGTAGTTTCCAACTGTTATCAATGAAAAGTGTTCTTGTTTAATTAACAAAGCCTCCACCAAAATCATGGTGAGTTCTGTTGTCATCTTTGAGTACATGTGTCATTGTGTATTTCCCCAAAGGTAGAGAAGCAAATTTGAAGTCAAATGGAGAAACACTGGAAACAGCATCCAGGTCCTTTCTATATAAGATGCATGCTGTTATCTCAGTCAGATTATTAGTATAGCCTTGCCTAGAGTTACATTATAGACAATTTTCTTCCAATTTGTTTCTTATACTCAAGATGCATCCAAAGGCTATAGAAGTAGAGACTTCTTTGCCTTGTGTGGGGTGTTGGAAAGAAGAAAATGAGATCCTGGATCTCTAGCTATTCTCCAGAAGAAATTTACTTAGAATAGTCCAAGTTTCTTCATACCTCCAAGATCAATTGCTCTGGGGTTTCTTATGTAAATTTCTTCCCTACCTCCTCCTCTCAAAATATCAGGATCCCACTGAGGATCTATAAAGGATCTGAAGCTAAGAAATGGCAATTGGAACATAATGTGGACATCTCTGTCTAAAATTTAAAGCAGAGTGCTCTCATTGCTAAGTGTGATTACCTGTGCATTAAATTTCAATTTACAGTGCTAGTTATTGTATGATAATTAAACGTCAGTAGGTTATTAAAACATATTTATTGAAGTATAACAACCATGCATTAGGCACATATCTTGTTAAGATTGCCAAACCTCATTAAATGCCTGTTTTATAAGCTATGGGTATCTAACTTTCATTCAGAAGAAAGGCAGGAAGCACTTAAGCTAAACACACTGGTTTAAAGTATTCCATTTCTACTTTCTCTAATATATGCATCCCGATGGTTATTACTATGTCTTTTCCACATGAGATTTAAACATCTCAGAACACCACCTGGGTAATGGCCATTTTGAAATCTGCATTCCTTCCTATTCTGACTTCAAGGCAAGAGGAATTTATGGAGCCAACTCAACATTAGGCATGCAATCTACTCTTAATGCTGCATATTTCACATATGATAAACCCTTAGGAATTCTGGTTTTCATTGACGGGAAAAATTTAGTCAGACTTAATTTGGTTTCATTGTGACTTATAAACGTCCTTACATACAAGCTCTGAATAAAGAACCTCTTTATTAAGTGATAAAAAATCAAACTGCATAAATATTTGCTAAACTCAAAGATTTAAGATTTTTATTAAAAAAAGGAAAAATAAACATATTCACAGTCTTTAGGATTTATGTGCAGCACTGCTGAAAACATTCCCAGATCTGAAGAAAGCTGGACAATTTTTATGCCACTTAAACTTTGGCAAGTTGGTCCAGAGTGTTCTCTTACCTGCCTCCAAGTGTTCCCTGCATCTGAAGAGACAAACATGCTGATGTCAGTGTCTGATAATTCAGAACCTATATTACCTAGAAAGAGAAGGCCACCATTAGTGAAAATAACTTGCTGCAACAGCAATAATGGACTATACCGGCAGGTGCACTGCCTGAGAAAGATTTTGACTGCCAGAATTCTGTCTGTGCAGGGGTTTTCTTCAGACTTGCTTCAGGGCTGGTGGTTTACATGCCTTTCAAAAATAATTTTAGCTTGCTTATTAAGTTCCAAGTACAGATATACAGCTTCTTAAAATAAACACTATTTACCACAGCCAGCAAACCAGGGAAGCTTCTTACCTGATGCCACTATGATGCTTGGAGCTGTGTCTTTGCTGGCAATGATCCCTGATGTGTAAGGATTCTCAGAGACCTTCAGGTGAAGGTGTAGTGAGCAATAGGGCTGAAAAGAGAAATAGTGTCATAAAATCACATAATCAAAATGGTCATTTGAAGCTTAGAATCAGGTCGTCCATCCATCCATCCATCTAACCAACCATCTCATTTACCATACATCCATGCACCACTCCAACAACCCTTGCACCTGTGCTTATGCTACCCACCATCTTTCATTTCCCCAAATATCTAGTGTCCACTAAGTGTAAAACAGCCTTCAAGTTCGTAAAGGAGAGACCACCTTCATTTTAGGTATTATCTAATTTGATCTTTGTCATTACAGAGCTTACAGTTTATATAGAGGACATGTGATCCTTCTATTAATTACCATAAAGAAAATACTTTAACAGCCATAAAATTGTATAGAAAAAATAGTATGAGATTCTAGAAGGTGGAGAGACTATGCTGAACTTTGAATCATGAATGACTCCAAAGAGCAAACAGTGCCTGAAGCAAAGATAGATAGGCTATGAACTGTGGGTAGATGTTCAAGAGATTAAAGAATGTTTCCGGCCTGAGTAATAACAATAACAAAGAAAAAGAAGCAGAAAAGCTGAGTAGCACAGTATATTATCAGAAAAGACCGAAGAGGAGAAATGGGATATGAATCCAGGAGAGAAGATAAAGTGAGGCCTGGGAGGGTTCTGAAAAAGTCAGTTGGCATCTCGTCTCCATTTGAGACCTTGGTCTCAGTTGTACAGGAAAAGCATGTGAAACTATCCCAACACCCACCAAACAACTGATCCAATATCTCTACCAGGATATGATCAGAATCAGAATTATTCAACTTGAAAGTCATACTTGTAGACAAAATGCACTAGTTGTAAAAATTTAAATGAAAATATAAGGGACTTTGTGCAGAAACCTTGATCAAATTATCTGATTGAAATATCAATAGTTTTCAAGGAAAAAAATGGATAATAAATCTTATATGAATTTTGTTTAAAATAGTTCTTGCACTGCGTTGTCAAAAACTATAAGTTTGTGTTTGAACCTACATTTCTTTTCATCTCTCAGGAAGATTACTTTCTAATCTTATCAACTTGACTTTTTGGAATCACCAATGTATCTCTGTTATTACTTTTATTCTGCTCTGTAAGTTTCAGCCAGCAGACATTCAGAGATCTACAGATACAATGATTAAATTTATATAGGATGGAGTAAATGACAAAGTGAAAATGAAACTCAGGAATAAAAGCAGCCAGGATGCTGGTGAAATAAAACAGCAGATCACAATTGCATATTTTCTTTACTGCCAACAAAGTAAAATTCTCAAGGTGTAATAACAGTAATAAATGATTGTTTTGCATAAAAATTTCATGTAAATCTTTCAATAAAAGGAGTTTTCACTTTATAATGTTCTATAAGACAGCCCGTATAAGAAAAAATATCAGGCCTAGCTGCTTGGCTTTTATTAGTCCAAGAGGAAGACTAGAACTCATATAATTAAATGCTGTGGATGTTCCAGAACAGCACAGTACAACATTCAGATGATGCTAAGACAGGATAAACCAGGATTGCAAAAGCAGTTTTCCATTTAAAGTCTTCCTTATAACTGCAGCCTATCAGGGTCTCCCCTCTTCTAATCTACGATGTATTTCACTGTGCACAATCTTGTATTATCTATTTCAGGTATATCACTCTAAGAATACACTCTATAAATAAAGATAACTCATTAAATACTGCTTTCCATCTATTGTGAAACCTAACATAGAATCTAAACAAGATAATAAATAGAAGCTTGCAAAATCAAGCAATGTTTTTTTGTTAGGATATGAAAGACATCACTTTACTATTTTACTCAGAGCAATGCCAGGAGTATGTGGGCTTGATTACAAACCACATAATCTGAATAATGTTGTGAGCAAATATATGGCATTCCAAGAAGTAGACTACTGCTTGGGGATTATCTCTAGACATATGAGCTAAATAGAGGAGTTTGCACCACCAAAGAGGACATCCCTAGCCAAAAGAGCACCCAGCTTGCAATCGTAAGCCAGTTGCTTGCCACAGGTGAAAGATTTTGAAACTTGTTTGCACCAGACCTAAGGATTACTTGGTAAGGGGCACTTGTCATCACAAAGGAAAGATGTCAGGCTGAGTGTGGTGGCTCACACCTGTAATCCTAGCATTTCAGGAGGCTGCAATGGGTGGATCATTTGAGGTCAGGAGTTCAAGACCAGCCTGGCCAACATAGTGAAACCCTCTCTCTACTAAAGATACAAAAATTAGCTGGTCGTGGTGGTGGATGCCTGTAATCCCAGCTACTTGGGAGGCTAAGGCAGGAGAATCACTTGAACTTGGGAGGTGGAGGTTGCAGTGAGCCTAGATCGCACCACCGCACTCCAGTCTTGGCAACAGAGCGAGACTCCATCTCTAATACAAAACGAAAAAAAAGCAAAAAACAAAAACAATGGAAAGATGTCTTTTTTTCCATTGGCTATCTCAGCATGCCTCTGTTGCTATGGTTTTCAGAGGGCTGAGATATGCTAATCTGAGAAGAAAAGACACCAGTTCAAACAGTAACAGCAACATTAGAAATGATCTTTTGATGCACTGTTTTCTCCACTCTCACATTTGTAGTACTGGATTGCCCCCAGCTGGTATAAGAAGAATATTCTGTGGCTTTCTGTTCTTTAATTTTCTTCAAGGAAGTTACATAGTCTACACAAATGTTCAAGGAAAAAGCAATGTGAGGTGATTCATCTTCACTTTTTTAACTTAAGCTGTTTTACTGATCAGGTTTGGACATTTGTCCAAGTTAAGTCATAAAAAATTGATATAGTTTATATTAGTATATTTTATTACAACACTTATCAAATCCCTCTAAGCCCCTGGAGGACACAAAACAAAGCACTCCCGTTCTTTTTTTTTTTTTTGGTGACGGAGTCTCACTCTGTCACCAGGCTGGAGTGCAGTGGCATGATCTCCACTCTCTGCAACCTCTGCCTCCCATGTTCAAGCAGTTCTCCTGCCTCAACCTCCCAAGTAGCTGGGACTACAGGTGCACACCACCACGCCCAGCTATTTTTTTTTTTTTTTT